CACTTTCATGTTTTATTTTGAAGACCAATCAAGGCAAATAACCTACTTTTCCTGTTGTGATACAAACATTTTAAAGCAGCACCCAGGTACAGTGGGACGACGGAGTAAAGTAAGTCCATGAGGCACATAGGTGAGGTTCATAAAATGGGCCCCTCTTAACAAGAAATAAATCATTTCGTGATAACAATATATGATATAAAATAAGAAAAAGAAACAGCCTCCTGGACTTGCTTGGTTTGGATAGTGCCCAGACACATAACATATATCACAATTCAGCCCAAGGTCGAGAATATCAAACTATTAAGTACATCGGTCACATGGTTTCAATTACCGCAGTGTATGTAGGATTGAATTACGCTGAAAAAGAAGCCAGTGTGGTGACTATAACATGATAATATGGATAAAAGGCGGGTTTGGCAAGCGCTGCTCCCTCGGCACTGATGAGCCTCTGTAAGTTGCGGTTGTTCGAAACACTTTGATTCTAGAGGCTCAAAATGTGTTGCTGTTTGCCTTGGAAGGGAATTGCAGCCTTTCCCTTCGTGCACAGAAATCACCCTGAGAAGATTCCTTTTCCAAGTTCTGCTTGCAGTTGGCAGTTTACTGTACTTGGATACTGGACGTACTGTACACGGATTTGCCATAGGAACATGTGCTTCTTTGAAGGCAGAGCTTGTGTGCTTTCTTTCTTTCATTTCCTCCTAGGCATCCTCACACCCCTGTCTGAACCCCAGTCTAATAGGAGTGAGCATATGAAACCATACCCTCCAACATTTCTCCTATGAAAATAGGGACGTCCTATTCAGCAATAATAATAATTTTATTATTTATACCCTGCCCTTCTGACTGGATTGTCCCAGCCACTCTGGGAGGCCTCCAACATATATAACAACATAATAACACATTAAACATTTTTTAAAAACCTCCTCTATACAGGGCTGCCTTCAGATGTCTTCTAAAGGTTACTTATCTCCTTGGCTCAGGGGTCCCATAACTCCATACCCTCCAACATTTCTCCAACAAAAATAGGGACGTCCTAAGAAAAAGTGGGACATTCTGATATCAAATCAGAAACCGGGGCAGCTTTTGTAAATTCGGGACTGTCCCTGGGAAACAGGGACACGTGGAGGGTCTGTGAAACCCATTCAGATTGATTTGTTGATTATTTATTTATTTAGGGTAGCAGAAGATCATTTTTAAAATGCGAGGTTCAGTATTTGCAACTAGTCAAGCTAGATGTGATTTCAAGCGCATGGTTCAAAAACTGTGTTTGTATCATTGTTTAGAGCAGCTGAGGGGGTGGGGGGTGGGGCTGGCACGGTAGACCGGGGCAGTGACATGGGGGGAAATGGTTTGAACTCTTTCTTTTTGCAACATTTCTCTGATGAACCCACCCCAACTATTATTTGATCCAATTTTAGGTGCTTCAAAATGGGGCGTGCACTTGTAGAAGATTTGGGGAACAAATTCTCAGCAGGTCAGTGAAGGGATGGAATGGGTTAACTCCTCACCATCACAGCCCTAATCTGCAGCTGCTTTTTGGAAACAAAGGCATCAGCCACTAAGCATGTTTCTGAATCATGATCATACACTCTTGTCTCATTTGGCCTGTATGGGTGCGTGTGTGTGTGTGTGTGTGTGTGTGTGTGAGAGAGAGAGAGAGAGAGAGAGAGAGAATGAGAATCAAATATTTGTATCCTGCACTAAGAAAGTTTGGGTTTTGCTATCTCTAGAAATTGTGTAAATGAAGGACATTTTCAGAGAGTTGCTTACATTGCAAAATTGTATTCTACACAGCTGGACTTTGAATGACACTTGTATGCAGAAGTGTGATCCCTGATAGCAGGAGTTGGTATGCCACTGATAAACAGAACAAACATTCCAGACTATGGAGTTGTGGGTTTTGGTTTCTTTAACAATTTCCATTGCTGGTATAAGAATCTCAACACTTGATACAAGCCTCGCTTGCAAATGTGCTCCATGATTTTCTCACCAGTGTGGGGAAGTCACTGGGCACATGCTCAGAAGTTGACTGGTATCACTACAGACATTTGAAACGAAGGGCTGAACCAGGGCTGGCTGAAGATGTTTCGTCACGTGAGGGCTGGCTCCTCCCTCCTCCTTGCCTGGGGTGGGCAGGCCTGGGCCTTCCTGTTATATACCTGCTAGGATTGACAAGGCATCTGATCCTCACCTGAATCTCATAGCTCTCCTGACAAGTGCTTTGGTCTGCAGCCACAGTGTTGAAATAAAGGATGAGATTGCCCACCAGATACCAGGCACTCTACTATTCAAATTAGGCCCCAGTGTTTTTCTTACAATCCCTTTCTCAATTAAGTAATCAATTTCAATCTAGAATTTAAATTCTCAAAACTTTCTTATTTGTTAATTCGAGCAAGTAAACTACTGCTCTCACTTCATTACACATACTATTTCTACCTGCAACACATTTGAGCAAACCTGCTCCTCTTCATTTCACAGGTTTTGTTGCCATTTGCAACTGTAGCTGCCTCTGATTAGTTATCATTTAATTCTTGGGGTGGGGGGGAATTAGCATCACGCGTCATGTGCATGGAAGTTGCCGAACCAATTAACCAACTAGAAGGATTACTGTTAATAGCACCAGTTTTCCTATAAGTTGATATTGCTGGATAGTTTTGATGAATTGTAAAAGCATTTTTAGTTTGCTTTCTGTTGCCACCCTGGAACTTTTCTTTATTAGTGCCACTTTGTTTTCTACGATTCCTTGCAAATGAAGGAAAACAACTTTTCTGCTTGTATATGTTGATAATATAATTTTGGTTATTGAGGACAAACAAGATTGTACAAAAACAAGATTGGGCGCAGGCCTGGCCAGGACACAGGTGTCCTGACTGTGACAAAGGTGAGCTGTGTGCTTGCTTGCTTGATTAACAGCTGTTGGGAACTTCAAGGTCCCTGCTCTCCCTTCTTATGGTCTTTGTACTGGACCTGGAGACTCCAATAGAGAGCATTCCATGTCAAGAAGGAGGGCAAGTGGGCACCCTACCAAATGACAGGGCAGAAGCTACATGGAGCAGGGCCTTTTCACTGGTGGTGCTGATTGTATGCCTCACTCTTCCTAGACCTGCTCTCTTTTGGCCTGTATTTTGGAGCTTTATAATTTAGGAAGACTTTGGAAGAACTGGTTGACAAGTCTTATCAGTTGCTGACATATGAGCAGATTTTATCTGCTGCTATTTTGGGCTTCTGGTGCACCAGGGTTTACACCAGCGTAATAGAGTTGGCCAGGATGCCAGAAGGAATACAATTTATGAGCTTTCTCCATTATCTGCACATCAGGGGGTGTTCAGTCAACAGTGCAAAGGCTGAGCTGAAGCATTCCCTGCTGGTTACCTGCTTTCAGCAATAGGGGTCGCTATTTGGTAGTACCCAACTGTCAGATTCTAGAGCTCCCTATTGGTGGCTCTTAGGTAATCACAAAATAAAGAGTCCATTCATAAAACACAGTGTTCATTCATAAAGCAGTAACACAAATCTCCATTGCTACATATTGGATGTATATTTCAGCAGTTGAACATACAGGTTTATGGCCATGCTGTAGTGTAGTACTTATGCAACTGTGAATAAAAAGGTGGCTGGGCTCATTGTCTCAGGGTTTGGGGGGAAGAGGTGACAAAACTGATTTCCAATATATGCCCCCCTTTATTTCCACAACAAGTCCTTGAGTCTGAATAGTGACACCAGGGACCTAGAAGGTGCAGGGCTTGTCAGTCCAACCCCTGCACAGTCTCATCAGGGCTGACCTTAAGGCAATTGGAGCAATTGGGCCAAATTGGGCCCCGCAGGCCGCTCCTAAAGGAGCCCCTGCACCAAGGCAGTCTAGATGGATTTTATTTATAGTTGCTGGGCCTGAGTTGCCCTGCCCTTGCATGAATTCTTGGGTTTACAATTTTGGGAGAGGGAAGACTGCGGCACTGGGGAGAGGGCAGGCTGGTGAGGCCCCCTAGATTTAGAGGCCCAAGGTGTCTTGCCCTCACATGATGTCTTGGGTTTGCAATTTTGGGAGAGGGGAGACTGGCCACTAGGGAGTGGGCGGGCTGGCGAGGCCCCCTAGATTTAGAGGCCCTAGGCTTCACCTACTTAGCCTATACATAAATCTGTCACTGGGTGCAGCCAAGGCAAGGCTTGTGGGTTGTATTAGCAGAAGAGCAACTCCTGTACTGAAAATGCACTACTTCCTCATTTTGCTTCAACATCCAACCTGTTCAAGCTTTAAATTGTGCCCCTTCCATCTAACACAAATGGATTTAAAAATACACATACCTATTTAATGTATAACATATTTAATGTACCGTATTTTTCGCTCCATAGGACGCACTTTTTCCCCTCCAAAAATGAAGGGGAAATGTGTGTGCGTCCTATGGAGCGAATGCAGGCTTTCGCTGAAGCCTGGAGAGCGAGAGGCGTCGGTGCGCACCGACACCTCTCGCTCTTCAGGCTCCAGGAGCTATCTGCAAGCCTTGCGCACCCGGGGAGTTCCCTGGGCACTCAAGGCTTGCGGGCAGCAGCCTGCAGCGTGGAGCACGGGGCGCCCTCCGGAGGATGCCCCGTGCGTCGCGCAGGTGCTCGCAAGCCTTGCGCACCCGGGGATCTCCCCGGGAGCGCAAGGCTGCGGGCGGCAGCCTGCAGCGCGGAGCACGGGGCGCCCTTCGGAGGACGCCCGTGCCGCGGCAGGTCCCAGCAAGCCTTGCGCACCCGGGGATCTCCCCGGGAGCGCAAGGCTTGCGGGCGGCAGCCTGCAGCGCGGAGCACGGGCGCCCTTCGGAGGACGCCCGTGCCAGCGCAGGTGCCCGCAAGCCTTGCACACCCGGGGATCTCCCGGGAGCGCAAGGCTTGCGGGCGGCTAGCCTGCAGCGCGGAGCACGGGGCGCCCTTCGGAGGACGCCCGTGCTCGCGCAGGTGCTCCGCAAGCCTTGCGCACCCGGGATCTCCCGGGAGCGCAAGGCTTGCGGGCGGCTAGCCTGCAGCGCGGAGCACGGGGCGCCCTTCGGAGGACGCCCGTGCTTCGCGCAGGTGGCCGGCAAGCCTTGCGCACCCGGGGATCTCCCCGGGAGCGCAAGGCTGCGGGCGGCAGCCTGCAGCGCGGAGCACGGGCGCCCTTCGGAGGACGCCCCGTGCTCAGCGCAGGTGTCCGCAAGCCTTGCGCACCCGGGATCTCCCGGGAGCGCAAGGCTTGCGGGCGGCAGCCTGCAGCGCGGAGCACGGGGCGCCCTCGGAGGACGCCCCGTGCCTCGCGCAGGTCCGCAAGCCTTGCGCACCCGGGGATCTCCCGGGAGCGCAAGGCTTGCGGGCGGCAGCCTGCAGCGCGGAGCACGGGGCGCCCTTCGGAGGACGCCCCGTGCTCGCGCAGGTGCCGGCAGCCTTGCGCACCCGGGATCTCCCCGGGTGCGCAAGGCTTGCGGGCGGCAGCCTGCAGCGCGGAGCGCGGGGCGCCCACGGTGGACGTCCCGTGCGCCGCGCAGGTGTCGCAAGCCTTGCGCACCCGGGATCTCCCGGGAGCGCAAGGCTTGCGGGCGGCAGCCTGCAGCGCGGAGCACGGGGCGCCCTCGGAGGACGTCCCGTGCTCAGCGCAGGTGTCCGCAAGCCTTGCGCACCCGGGATCTCCCGGGAGCGCAAGGCTTGCGGGCGGCAGCCTGCAGCGCGGAGCACGGGGCGCCCTCGGAGGACGTCCCGTGCTCGCGCAGGTGTCGCGCAAGCCTTGCGCACCCGGGGATCTCCCCGGGAGCGCAAGGCTTGCGGGCGGCAGCCTGCAGCGCGGAGCACGGGGCGCCCTCGGAGGACGTCCCGTGCTTCGCGCAGGTGTCCGCAAGCCTTGCGCACCCGGGATCTCCCCGGGAGCGCAAGGCTTGCGGGCGGCAGCCTGCAGCGCGGAGCACGGGGCGCCCTCGGAGGACGTCCCGTGCTCGCGCAGGTGTCCGCAAGCCTTGCGCACCCGGGGATCTCCCCGGGAGCGCAAGGCTTGCGGGCGGCAGCCTGCAGCGCGGAGCACGGGGCGCCCTCGGAGGACGTCCCGTGCCGCGCGCAGGTGTCCGCAAGCCTTGCGCACCCGGGGATCTCCCGGGAGCGCAAGGCTTGCGGGCGGCAGCCTGCAGCGCGGAGCACGGGGCGCCCTCGGAGGACGTCCCGTGCTTCGCGCAGGTGTCCGCAAGCCTTGCGCACCCGGGATCTCCCGGGAGCGCAAGGCTTGCGGGCGGCAGCCTGCAGCGCGGAGCACGGGGCGCCCTCCGGAGGACGCCCCGTGCTCGCGCAGGTGTCGGCAAGCCTTGCGCACCCGGGGATCTCCCCCGGGCGCGCAAGGCTTGCGGGCGGCAGCCTGCAGCGCGGAGCACGGGGCGCCCTCGGAGGACGTCCCGTGCTTCGCGCAGGTGTCGGCAAGCCTTGCGCACCCGGGGGATCTCCCCCCGGGAGCGCAAGGCTTGCGGGCGGCAGCCTGCAGCGCGGAGCACGGGGCGCCCTCCGGAGGATGCCCGTGCTTCGCACAGGTGTCGGCAAGCCTTGCGCACCCGGGGGATCTCCCCCGGGAGCGCAAGGCTTGCGGGCGGCAGCCTGCAGCGCGGAGCACGCGGCGCCCTCGGAGGACGTCCCGTGCTTCGCGCAGGTGTCGGCAAGCCTTGCGCACCCGGGGATCTCCCGGGTGCGCAAGGCTTGCGGGCGGCAGCCTGCAGCGCTGAGCACGGGGCGCCCTCGGAGGACATCCCGTGCTTCGCGCAGGTGTCTGCAAGCCTTGCGCGCCCCCGGGGGAGATCCCCCCTGGGCGCCCCCGGCCTGCGCGCGGCGGCCTGCAGCGCGCAGCACGGGGCGCCCTCGGAGGACATCCCGTGCTTCGCGCAGGTGTCTGCAGCCTGCCGCCCGGCGCGTGGGGCGCCCTGAAGCAGAGCGCCCTCACGCCCGGGCAGACATGGCCAGCCCCACAAGCTCGGGGGACAACGGGGAGGCGCAGCGCCGCCATCCCACTGGTCCCCGACCTGGTTTTGGGGGGGGAAATAAAGGAAAAAATTTTTTCCTTTATTTCCCCCCCAAAAAAGTAGGTGCGTCCTATGGGACGGAGCGTCCTATGGAACGAAAAATACGGTACAACATTCTGTTTGGTTATACCTAAAATCGCTACTGCTCGCTTCTGCTTATTTCCAATTGTTTTCACTTCATTTCTCTTTCACCACCTCCTCTTCTCCTGAAGCAATCTCCCTCTCTCCCCCTCTCTCGTTCTCTCTCTCCCTGCTTCTCCACCTTTTACTTATGTTGCTCTACAGCCAGATTGGAGAGACAGTTAATGCTGCATTTTTTATTAATAAAAATCGCCCAAACTCTCTGCCAATTGGCCAAATGGGCCGAGGATGTGGAAAGTACATATCCAATTAGATTCTCGTCAAGAATTCCCATCTGGCGAAAGTATCAAAGGTCAGCTGAAATTGAAAAAGCACACGCGGTCATTCATGCTGTTTTATACAGAGCACAGAGTGTTCTCCTTTGGAAATGTCTCATCTTCAGGCGCAGTTAAAAAGCAAAGAAAATTCAGCAGGTTGCAAATGAAAAGAGAGCAACTGGTCACTTTCAGTTTGCAAGCCAAGTTCCGACCATTCCCACCAACATTTTTTTTTTTAAAAGCTTCTCTAAAATCCGCTGTTATTTCAATGTCATGGATTTTTCAAAACGTGCACCAAAGCATATCCAAAAGCTGCAGTTTAGGAATGTGACCAGCAACTGAAACCGCTGAGTAATAGCGTAGAAACCACTAACAACATACATGTGTCTTCTGTCACCAGCAAAGGATGAACACAAAGGTCAAGAGAATTAAAGGTACGAATTGTGGGATTGGGGTGAAGGTGACGAAACTGTCCAGAAACTATGTGTCGTAAAATCATTGACTCCACGCCACCACACCCCTTGAACCATGCTGAAGAATAGAAATCACGTTTAATCCAGCTTCCTCAAAATGAGTTTATTGCTTTCAATGTTGGCTCTCCAACATAAGTTTGAGACTGCACCCATCTTCGACCCTCACCCACCCTGGTTCCCCAATCCATTTTAAGAGAAAGAATTCTATAATTCACTGGGTTAAAGGGATCATTTGCTGGCTTTGTGGGATGTACTGCCAGCACTTAGGAAACATTTATTTTTCGTTATTGGAATGGATACAAGTGCAGCGGTTTAAGAAATATTTCCTTTCCTTTGGTTCCTGGCAGCGAACGGCAAAAGTGGCTGCAAGCTGAGGCAGGAGGAGCACGGATATGCAAGGGTACACAAATAACATTCCAATATTTTTGTCAAAAATAAATAAGCGAGCTATTAAGTCATCTCGGGATGGGATTTACTTATTGCTCGTGTACAACTGCAAGCATGGTGTTTATTCACAAACAGATTCTTTCCTCTGTGCTTAAGTGTGCTGTGCCTCCCACATTACCATTTAGGAAGGATTAACACTATAAAAAGCATTCTGGGCTACAGCAAAGCACTATATACATGCAGGTCAAATTCCAGTAATAACCGCATTGCAAGGTCATCTTACTCCCTGGGTTTCTTTTAACTACATATTCATTCTTCATATTTTGTTGGCATATGGTGATTGTTTTTAAACGCCCGCAAACGCAGCATACAAATAACGATGCCATTTTGCAGCCCAGTTCTATCTGTATTTACTCAGAAGCAATTTCCACCTTTCATGCTTGCTTCTAAGTAAGAGAGCCAGTGTAGTGTAGCAGTTAGAATGTCAGACTAGGACCTTGGAGAGTTCAAGGTTGAAATCCCTACTTAGCCATGAAACTCACTGGGTGACTTTGGACCAGGCACTGTCTCTCAGCCTAACCTACCTCACAGGGTCATTGTGAGGACAAAATGGAGGAAAGATAGCATGCCACCTTGAACTATTCGGAGAAAAAGTAGGATAAAAATGTAATAATAAAAATAAAATAATTTTGCCCAGGGTGGGAGCCATTTCAGATTTTGTTATGGTGACGGGGATGGGAGCAAGGACAAAGATTTCAGCAGGCAGGGGGCAAGGTTCGCAGCAAATTTCAAGGGCTGGGTATTTGAGATGATAACAATAAAACTGATGAAAAACAGTGCACTTAAAGAACATTTTTTTGTGGTTACTTTAAAAAAAAAATCTAGCAAAATTATCTACAAAAGATAATCACATTTTTTCAAGCAAAAAAAGGCCTTTTGCGTGTAAACCTGATCCATAAGCTCATTTAATACATTGTCTGCAAGATTTGACTTGTATCTGTAGCTTTGGGAAGCAGCCTGATCAGTTTTGGAACCATTCTGTGTCTCTCCAATTTGACTTGTTATTTGGGACCAAATTAGATCTGCAAAAAAGATCTGCCCACACCCAAAACCTGTTCCATATAGTAGGGTATACAAAAATAGCTATAACTGAACCCCCCCCCCCGCCTTTCACAGAAATGGATAAAATGTGTGGGCATAGCAGACCTTCAAAAGTGGATTGTCTGCCAAATTGTAGGCAGTTGCATCTGGGGTTTTCATGCATGGCTTTTTAAAACAACAACAACAACAACAACAACAACAGAAAAGTTTATAACTTTTTTCATTTTCTGCCAGAACTGGATAAAGCTTGCCAAACTGCAGAACTACAGCTGCAGGGGTATTCTCACAAGGGCAAACTTTAAACATTGGGTGAGGGGTATAATTTGAAGCATTGGGACAATCATAGGTAAAAGTGCATGGATCTCCAGGAATGGCTGTGATCATGCTACCCCAAACTACCCCAAGCATCATATTTCTGCATATAAGGGGTGGGTTCAACCCCCAGAAATCTTCTTACTTTTATAGTAATAACAATAATTTATTACATATACCCCACCCATCTGGCTGGGTTTCCCCAGCCACTCTGGGTGGCTTCCAACAGGATATTAAAAACACAATAAAACATCAAACATTAAAAACTTCCCTAAACAGGGCTGCCTTCAGATGTCTTCTCAAAGTCATATAGCTTTCCCCCCCCTTCTGATGGGAGAGTGTTCCACAGGGCAGGCGCCACTACCGAGAAGGCCCTCTGCCTGGTGATTCCCTGTAACCTCAATTCTCTCAGTGAAGGAACCGCCAGAAGGCCCTTGGAGCTGGACCTCAGCTTCCGGGCAGAACGATGGGAGTGGAGACGCTCCTTCAGGTACACTGGGCTGAGCCCGTTTAGGGCTTTAAAGGTCAGCACCAACACTTAGAATTGTGCTCAGAAATGTACTGGGAGCCAATGCAGATCTCTCAGGAGCAATGTTATATGGTCTCGGCGGCCACTCCCAGTCACCACTCTAGCTGCCACATTCTGGATTAATTGTAGTTTCTGGGTCACCTTCAAAGGTAGCCTCACATAGAGCGCATTGCAGTAGTCCAAGAGGGAGATAACTAGAGCATGCACCACTCTGGTGAGACAGTCCATGGGCAGGTGGGGTCTCACCCTGCGTACCAGATGGAGCTAGTAGACAGCTGGCCTTGGCACGTTTTTTCTTTGAAAACGTTTAAAGCAGTTGGTGTCGAAAACATTAAATTGTTGGAATAGACTAATGAAATTTGTAATTTCTATTGAGTTTAAAGATGCACCAATATTTTACATTGTTTTTGAAGATATATGCTTTACATTTCATTAATGTCTTCTTATCATAGACTTTTTTTTAAAAATGCAAACTGACGTGGACAACTGAAATTAAGAGTGGAAAAATGGGAAGCATTTCCATTCCCATCAGTCATGATTCAGTTCAGACGGGCAGCTCAAATATATATTAAAAGGAGGAATTGAGAATATGATGAAACATCCTAGTGTTTCCATGTGCCATGTGATGTTTATGAGGTCAGTAAATGTTGCTTGCGGTCATGGGTTGCAGAGCCATTTCATTTTGAAGAATATAACTCGATCATTCTTACATATCACTTCAAAGTTTGTCTGGGTCAACATGCTCCAATATTTTGTCAGATGGCCAGAGCTGACAAACCAATGCTCTGCTTTCCCTAATCTCCTTCTGGGTTAGATAAGGAGGAAGAGCCTCCAGACTGGGCTGCACTGATATTGGGCACGCTGCTGACAAGCAGCCCCACTCCTTTGGCAACGTACTTAGGTTCAACAAACTTTATGAAGGCTTCAGGAAGGATTGGTATCAGCTTTGGCCATAAGACAAATATGCCCACCTGGAAGTGAGCCAGTCCAAAGCTAGAGAACAGCAGATGGGGAGGTGGCACCAGTATCAGAGTTCATACTCTTCTGTTTGAGAGTTCTTGGCTCTAAAAGGTGTGCATTCATTTCAGGACAAATGGAAAGCACTACTGAATGGGGCTCATTTGGACCAATCAGCATTTGTCTTGAAATGAATGAAACGAGCCATTCAAGGCTCCCATTCACTCCATGCATTCAAGGGTGCTGGGTATACCTGGATCCAGCAGCGGTTGAATAGACATTGGTGACCGCTAATAGCTGCCATAAGCCCCTACCAGAATGCCCTGCTGCAGTGCTGTTCCAAGGAATTTTGGAAGGAAAATGACACTCCCTCGTTTTATTTTAGGCTGGCAACTATTCCCACCCCCATGCCTCTTAACTGTGCTGCATCCAAGCATTCAAGCAAGAGGATCGGAACCCTCTAGGAGTGATTTAGGGCTCACTGAGAACTTGTGTACCTTTTTTCATAATAAAAAAAGGTTGACGATCATGTACAAAGTACTTTT